GTTTTGGCAGCGATGGTCCCGGGAGTCTGCCACAAAAGTGGGTACTTGGCAGGGTCACCACAACTCACGCCGGGACAGACGGGAAGGTGCGGGTGGCCGACGTCGCCACGAGTAGCGGCAATCTCCGAAGGGCGATTCACCGGCTGGCGCCATTGCCATTTAGATTAGGATAGTTTAAGAGAAATATTTAAATTTTAGTTTAGGGCGAAAAGAGAGCGCGAGAGCGGCCGTTTGCGGACGTCGCCTCGCGCCCTTTTTTCGCCGCCTTAGGCTTAGTTTAGCATGTAAGCCGAATTTTGAAGCTAGTTGTAAAATAGAACTAAATAGAAGCACAATCGCCACCGCATCGTTTCGAACTTTTCTATATTAAAGTTAAAGTTAAAAGCAATCGTCCCATTCTTCTTTGTTTTTAATAATTTATATAAAATAATATAAATTTTCATTTGGTTTAGGTAGCATTTGAAATGTGGACGCTATTGACGAAATTCTGTAGCGGGGGAAGGGGGGGGGGGGGGAATTAAAAAAAATAAAAATAACTCGTCCCTTCTCGGACCTAGAAGAATCTGGATGCCAACTTTGGTTATTCTAGCTTTCATAGTTTCTGAGATCCTTGCGTTCATCCAGACGGACAGACGGACGGACAGACGGTCGGACAGATGGACGGACAGACGGACGGACAGACGGACGGACAGACGGATGGACGGACAGACGGACGGACAGACGGACGGACATGTCTAGATCGATTTCTCTCGTCATGCTGATTCAGAATATATATACTTTATGGGGTCGGAGATGCTTCCTTCTGCATGTTACATACTTTGCACAAACCTAATATACCCTTTTTACCCTACGGGTACAGGGTATAAAAACACTGAGGCCAGAGCTCGACAAATTCCAGATGGGACCAGATGGGGAATTCCAGTCATGGAATTGACTGTGACCAGGATGGGAGCTACTCGTAGGGTCCATCCCATTGCCCGCAGTGCAGGCGGGGGCAAACCGGTAAGCCAATCGGTTTCCCCGGATTCTGGTGGGATGCAAACCTCCTTTACTTCGGGTACAACGGCGAAGCAGCTAAGCCAGTATCCGGAGCAGGAGTAACCAGCATATTTTCAGTGGCGTGTTTATTAGTTTGTTAATTTCTCTCCCGTTTCTATTTCTTCTGCTAGCTGTTTTATCAGGGTTTCCGCATTTATACGATTTGTCAATGTTGTTGTTTGGACAAACATCGATGGATCGACGATGCATCGTTACCAAAATCGAAAAAAACTCAAGCTCGTACTTTCTCTGCACGACACCGACACTATTTATCAAGGTCTGAGCTTCCCTTGGGTGAAGGACGAAGTTAAGAAAAGCAACAAGCGGTACATGCAGAGGCCAGTTATCTATATATATAAAACAGTTTGTCCTGACTGACTGACTGACTGACTGATTGGTGATCAACGCACAGCCCAAACGGTAAAGGCTAGGAAGCTGAAATTTGGACTCAAGTATCCTTTCATAGTCTAGGTCCCCACTAAGAAGGGATTTTGGAAAACTCGAGCTCCAAAGGGGGGAAAACAACGTTTGTATGAAAAATCTACAGTTTTCATCTGATTAACTTTAAACTTAGTTTGTATACTCTCAGAACAATTCCAAGAAAAACTGTGTACTTGGTTTTTTGATATTTTTTTTGGGGCCTAAAATATGGGAGTTTTCCTGTAAAAAAAATGTTGGGGCACAAAAGCAAACCGCGTCAACAGCCCACAGCCTACACGGTAAAAGCTAGGATGCTGAAATTTGGCAAATATCCCATCACGGTGTAGATGAGTACTAAGAAAGGATTTTGGAAAATTCGAGCTCCAAAAGGGGGAAAAGTAGCTCCAAAGTTTGTTTGAAAAATCCGCATTTTTCAATTGATCGACTTAAAACTTAGTTTCTGAAATCAATTAAAGAATACAAACAAAACTGCATACTTAGATTTTCGAAATTTGTGTTGGAGCTTGAATTATTGGGGTTTTAATATTTATTCACTATTTCAAATGAAAAGTTTGTGTTATAAATTTAGTCCGATCGATTTAAAATTTGGATAATGTAATCTACGTAACTAAATCTACAACTTTGCGTTCAAGGATTTTCAAAATATGCATTTTACAAAAGCGGGCAGAACAAACAATACAAAATATCAAACAGTTGGGGACAACTAAGTATACATACACACACACACACACATGCAAACAGCTGTTCGTGTAGTTGCGTGCAAACGATTGAAATAGCCAAAGCAACATGTGAGACACTAATGTGTGAATGTCCATACATATGTGCACATCTATGTGTGTACATATGTATCTACATGTGTATGTTTGTACATTCGTCTTGCACTGACAGAACAAGAAATGTTAATTAATTGAAAATTAAATAACATTTTTAAAAGTAATTTTTTCTTTGTTTAGTGCATTTGGCATTAGTGTTTTCATTAATAACTTTATGCAGCAACAACAAATATCAAATAGTTGGGGACATCACATACACACACTCACACACACAACAAGTAACAGTTCATGTCTATGTGTGCGGTTCTCTACGTACGGTTGAAAAAGTAAAGAGAAACATACATATGTATGTATGTATGTCTGTGTATGAATATAGCATGTATTCGTATTAATGTATACATTGGGCAATCGAACACAGTTGTTTGATTGTAAAAAAAATAATGCTCTAAAAACAACAACTGCAACTTTAGTTTTGACCATTTAATGTTAATCGCAAAGATAAAACGCCAAAAGTTTACAGTTACCGTCGCTAGGCAACGACTGCGTAAGCGATAGTAAAGCAGAAACCGAATAACGGAGCTACGAATATTCTGCTTCGTATTGCGGGCAGATGTATGTATGTATATGATTTGTTCTTATTGATCTCAATAAATAATTAGATTTTATTATTTAAATAGTCTGCTTATTCCATTCAAACTTCGATATTTTGATGCTATCGGTGGCTTCAACTATCGAAAGTTTTACTCTAGCAAATTGAGATGAGAATTTTCAGTGCTTTTTGATCGTGGCTCATCGCTGCACGGCATTGACACGAGTGCCGTGTTTCATATTCCGAGTTTGTGCGTGACCGTATTGACCCAATATGGCACGAAAAGACTCAAATGTGAATTTAAAATTAGGATATACCCTTATAATTATTCCCCTTTTTTTGCACATAGTCTATCTTTAAACGTTGCGGTTTCTCTATATATAAAACAGTTTGTCCTGACTAATTGGTGATCAACGCACAGTCCAAACGGTAAAAGATGAAATTTGGACTCAAGTATCCTTTCATAGTATCCATCATAGTGGAGGAGCACACTAAGAAAGGCTTTTGGAAAATTCTAGCTCCAAAGGGGGGAAAACGAGCTTTAAAAAATATTAGTTATAGTGGTCATGTTCGTTTAACGAAATAGTTTGGCAAGAACAAAAATGTAACGGACTACTGAACAATTTTTTGTCAAGAACAGAAAATGTTCATTTAAATACCTTAAATGCCTTCCTACTGGTAACTTAAAGGGTGAAAGCATATGGGTAGGTTATGCGCACACAAAATAAATACAATTGGAAACATTATATTGAGCCGGGTTAAGACGGGCAATACCTGCTAGTATATATATATATATATATATATATATATATATATATATACATACATTTGTTTTGATATTAACAATTAAGAAGAATACCAAGTCACGAACTTCATAGAAAATTGATATTTTATATTACCTCCAGAAAAATTAATTGTCAATCAGATTTATTGGAGGCTTCTTAAAAGCCGTATCGTTGTGTTTTGGCGGAAACGAGTTAAACAAATAAAATGAAATAAAAATCATAGCTATGGCTGATTGTAACATTAGAGTCGGTGTTATTGTTAAAGCACTAATCAACCATCGGAATACCGTCTCAAGCTTTCTAAAAGGCATGTTCCGCATGCCAATAACAATAAAATGGTACGTCTTACATTTTACTCATGATATGGGAAAGTTACCAATATACTTTATAGCAGGTCGGCTGAATGCGCAAATGTATACGGATCCTGGGCAGCGAACTATACCATTTCCAAAAGATTTCCATGGAGAGAATGAGAAATTTCACCAGGATAACGCTTCAATACATGTTTCACGGTATAGCATGATGAGACAAGCAATATTCCCTTAATGCAGTGTCCTGCAATAAGTCCGGATTTGAATCCAATTGAAGACCTTTAGCCATCCTATCAGGCAAAGTTTATAGGTGTGGAAAACAATTTGACCCTTTACTAAATTTAAGAGATGCCATTGTCTAGGAATGGCCAAAAATTGACTTAATCGTCCTTTAAAAGTTGGTTAATCCAAATTTGAATTTATTTTCATTTGCACAAATATCAACCTTCTATGAAATTATTGATCAATTAATCAAAAATTAAATATATTTATGGTTTCTTAATTATTAATATCTATTACCTATTTAAAAAAATGAATGTAAAAATTTATCATGCAAGAGTTTCTAAAAAACTTTTAAAAACAAGTTGCCTACATCTTAGACAGAAATTTACTCTGTTAGGAACAACATTGAACGTGTAAAGAAAGCAACGAATTCCATCTACTCGTGCAAAAAAGAAATCGTCAGCAGGTAGAAATTCTTACGCCGATTGGTACATTGGATATACCTGACCATCATACGACCTATACTGCTCTATGGAGTCATAGTATAGTGATCAGCGCTGAACGAATACCAAATACCAAAGACCAAAGTTCAGAGTTCACTTCGCACCACATCAACTGATGCTATTAACATTACTTTAATCTTATATCCTTTGACATTAAAATATAACCTTCAGACTTACGGAAACCCTGGCATGGAAAGATTCCACCAAAGGGTACGCAAAGGTACTCCATGTTCATGCTGGAGTCCCAACCCGTGAGGAATTTTACATACCACTGGGACACCTAAACCAAGTAAGAGAACGTTGAAGAGGGCTGGTTTCAATGGTTTTATTTTACAAAATAACAAGGTATGCTGCCTTCAGTGGCGTATTGGCACAATACAAAAAGAAATACAAGTATAACCTTAAGCAAAACAGGTCTTCAAAAGGTCCTGTAGGTAATCCTGTGAAGTTCCGTGGCGATTGTTCAACGCGATCAACCATAATTTTTTTGATTTTTTCTTCATTTGTTTGACAGTTACCTTTTACTCCGTTTGTCAGGGGTTCATTCTATTAAATTAAAAGAAAATCGGACATTCGCACTTCTCATGCAAAGGACCTACTCGAAGCCATAAAATGAGTAGGAGGTGATGGGAAAATTACTACGATTTAGTGGCGTAGCAACGCAAGCCGGATATTCTAGTATAATATAATATTTATCAATTTTTAATAAGTTCTTCGTTTCAACTAAGTCGATATGGTATATAAATATACCAATTTATAAATAAACAAAAAAAACGCATTTTGCACTTACATAGTTCGCTTAAGATGTGCGATTTCATCCTGCATTAGAGCATTGCGTTCCTCCTGCTTTATGCGCAGCAATGAGGTGCGCACATTATTTTCCTCCAATAGTTTTATTATATGTTCCGCTCGGCGAACTTCCATTTGTTTGCTGCTGAGTGTCCCGAATAAGTTGAGGAACTCCTCGTTTTTCAAAAAAAGATGGTTATTTATCTGGGAAGAAAAGTAAGTTTTATATACATATGTACATCGGTGATATTTTTGGCTGACCTGACTGATGAGTGTGTTCTTTTCGCTAATTTGGTAATATAATTCATCCAGCTTGTTTCTATTATCGTGTTCGTGCTGTTGCATGGCGTTTATCATTTCACACCGCACAGCTAGCACCTGCCGATCCCGTTCAGCCTGCTCCTGAAGATGTGCAATCTGGATATCCGCTTTTCTCAGTTGCTCCTGAAGCTTTTGTGCAATCGGGGGCTGTGAATCAAGCTTATACTCATTTCCCTTTAATTGAATCTGAAGCTCGCTAAAATATTGCATTAGTATACTTTGTAAAATATTAAATACTTAAATCTGAAATGCGTTTATCGACGTAAGCAGACGTGTTTTTATTGAAAATATAAAAAGCGAAAGTAAAGCAGACACAGGCGGTACTTTATCCCATACAACGGCATACATATAAATACATTTTTATTCTCAGTATCACCGGAGACCTCGAAGAATAACGACTTGAGACTAGCGATCTGTGCACAAGTGCTTCTCGCTGTACTAAAAATAACATAAGCAACAAAAATAAAAACTCAAAACGAACAAATATTCAAAGTTAAATTTACAAATACAAAAACAGATCTATGATATCCAAAGGGTCTCTTTCCCTTAAAATAAAAATGAGAGAGAACGCTACAGTCGAGCAAGCCCGGCAGTGAAATACCCTGTACCCAGGTAAGCTTCCGACACTGAGGTATATGTGCCTCAGGCAGAAGCAAAAGGAAGAAGAAGAGCGAACTTGATGCTTCAGCTTGTGGGCGTAGTACCAGAGTGAAATTGTTTCGCTAATAACTTTTCTTAGAAATAATTAATTATTAATTATGTGCGCAAAGTTTGGTTAATGTAGCCTTTGAAATGTGGACGGTATTGGCGAAATTCTGTAGCGGGAGAGGGGAAGGAAAATTTACAAAATTAAAAAAAAAACTAAGGACTAGGAGCGTCTACATACCAAGTTTGGTTTATGTACGCTCAGCCGTTTCCGAAATCCAGGCGTTTCAGACAGACGGACGGACATGTCTAAATGGATTTCTCTCGGCATGCTGATTCAGAATATATATACTTTATGGGGTCGGAGATGCTTTCTTCTGCATGTTACTTACATTACCAACTTAATATACCCTTTTTACCCTACGGGTACAGGGTATAAAAACAATTATAAATCTGCTCCAAGAACAAACTTCGATAAATAATAAACAGAGATGATCAGGAGTGCCACAGAAAACTCCTGTGGCTTCGGCTACAGGTGTTTTTGAAAACTCCCAAAAAATACGTTGGTGCCACAGAATTTCGAAAGATTTCTTTTTTTCGAAGTTCTCCTCCAAGCCAGCTGTCAGTAACAGCTCACTGTCGACGCTTACTTTTGACTGACTAATTGTAAATTAGTAAATTCTGTAAATTCTGTAAAACACTAAGTTAAATAAAACACAAATATGCCTTTTGCATAAAAATAAGCCAGCGCAAATTTGCAGAAACGCCAACTAATTGTTGAAAAATTACAACGCCAATGTTTGAGAAGCGCATCTGATCCCATTTAAGAATTCCTCTTATATTGCTGTTTAAGAATTACATTTATTTGTAACATTTTCTATAACATAATTTGGAGTTCTACGCGATATCCATAAATTGGACTAAAATTGCGTACTATTGTGGCAATCTATGTTTTCCCCTAGTACAAAAATGTACTTACATTTTGTTTTGCTGGTCCGTATTGTATATTGAAATGGCAGTTTATGACCATTCACATTTTCGCCAACAAACAGACCTGCCCAATCGGCGACACACAATTATCCCCAAGTTTGTTTAATTAATACAGACTTAATTGGTACTTATTTGAAACAAGAATTGCGTCAAATATATAAGTTATCTTTTACTTTCGGTTGACTCACAAAATAAGACTTAACTCAGCAAAATGTGATGTTCGAAAAATGTAATGTTCTATTTGGGTCAAAGGGTCATCTCTATTGTGCAGTTGTTTTGGATGCTGGTGTTTTAAATGTACATTTAGTAAGTTGCTGATCTATATATAAAAACAGTTTGCCCCGACTGATTGACTGACTGACTGATCGATGATCAACGCACAGCCCAAACAGTAAAAGCAAGGAAGCTGAAATTTGGACTCAAATATCCTATCATTGTGTAGGTAGGCACTAAGAAGGTATTTTGGAAAATTCAAACTCCAAGGGGGGGAAAACGGGATCCAAAGTTTGCTTGAAAAATCTTCAGTTTTCCACCGACGAACTTCAAATTTAGTTTTTGTGTTCTATAAAAGAATAAAAATAAAACTGCATACTCGCAAATTTGTCTTGGAGCTTGAATTATTAGGGTTTTAATAATACTTCACTTATTTTCAAATGAAAAATTTGTGTTTTGAACTTTGACCCCTGCGGGGCGTGGCACCGCTGGTCAAATTAACCTACCGTGAGTACGCTTTTTTGGCCAGATCTCCACCGAAGTCAGCTCCTTGTCAGAGCTTTCCACTTTTCTGCTCACCTGCAGCAGCGCTGTGTGCAGCAGCCGCAGCCGAAGCGGTGAATACTCCTTTCTCAACACCATTGGCAGCACTTTTGCCGCTGGCAAGCACAGTGTGGGCGTCTAATAGGCCGCTTGACCAGCCAGTGACTGCTCAAGGTGAGATGCAGGTGCTGAGCTCCCACCTACAGGCGGTCTTTCGTCTCTTTAAAGGCCTTAAAAAACGCCACGTAAATCAACAGGATAAGGAGCTTTTTGTTGAGATGCTAAGGCTATACAACTCAATATGTAGCAAGGTGGATTGGTCGCATATTGGTAAGAAGCTGACTAGCAATGACGTCGGTGTGCAAACGGCCGCGCCTGGCCCCTAAGACCCAAACGCGTCGGCAACAAAACGAACGGAGTAACCAAGGCGTCAACCGTGCTTCATCAAGCAAAGAGAGCAGGAAACAGCCCCGAGTGGAGCACTCAGCAATGCAGCTCGCGGCCACTGCATCCGACACCACTGGAGAACAAAGTTGGCAGGAGGTAACAAATAGACGCAAGGAAGGCCCATAAGACGATATTGCAACCTAGAAGGTCTAGGCCCGAAGCAATTATCATTCAAAATAGGGCGAACCTGTCCTACAGTGAGATCCTGCGCAGACTCGAGGACGAGAAGCTTCAGGACGTGAGCGAAAACATAAACAAGGTGAGGAAAACGCGGAACGGTGATGTACTCCTTGAACTCAAGAGGGGCAGCAACGAGAGTGCCCAGAATTTGACGAAAAGCATCGGCCAGGCCCTCGGCGCGGGGGTGGCAGTTCGGGCCGTCGCGCTGGAGCGCCGGCTCGAAATCCGGGACTTAGATGAGCTGGTGGAGGCAGAGGATGTCCAGACGGCAGTGACAGTCCAGGCCGGAATCGATCCCGAGCTGTGCAGTGTTAAAAGCTCACAAAGTCGCCAATGAAGATATTACACCTTAACTTGAACCACTACGCAGTGGTGCAAGACCTGCTGGCGCATTCAGCTGTAGAACGTGGAGCTGACGTGGTGATCATCAGCGAGCCTTACAAAGTGGGAAGCGACACCTACTGGATATCCAACTCCAGTAGACAGGCAGAAATGTGGCTACGTAGAAGCCTCTACTCCATCTACAGTTGCTACCTGGCCCCTAGCCTGTCTCTTAGCGAGTTTTCCATAATTATAAACTCGTTAGTGAATGATGCACTACTCAATTAGGGATCGAGAAACACGTTCAGCAAAGCCGGTGTCGGCTCAGTAATTGACCTAACATTTGTTAGTGGCGCCCTGTTCCCATCCTCCTCTTGGAACCTAGGCCTGAACTACACGGCAAGCGACAACGAGGCTATTTTCTGCGTGATCGAGGGTGAACCCAGCCAGCGGCGAACCAACATACCCGCTAGTAGGATGTTTCGTAGCGAGTCTGCGTACGTGCCAGGCGGCTCTACCAGAGTTCGAGACGCTCAGCCGACTTCAATGAACTCCAAGGGGACTATCGCTGAAAAAGGAGAGCCCTAAAGCAACTCATTAAGGACAACAAGCGTAGTTGCTTTCTCGAGCTCTGTGACATTGCCGGATCGACCGCGGCGACCGTAACACGCATAGTGGAAGTGCTGTTGTCTATCAGACCAAACGCTACTTCCACTGCGACCCAGTATGGATCTGGTGGCCCACCCTTCTCAGTAGAAATGGTAACATCCGACGAAGTCCAAAGCGCCAGGTCCGGACTCTAACTGAACAGAGCAGAAAGACTAGCCATGGCAATCTTTCCAGCTGCATTCATGGAACAGTACCATCAGTGTCTCAGGGAAGGAGTGTTTCCGGATAAGTGGAAACGGCAGAGGCTTTCCTATTGCCAAAACCTGGTAAACCTCCTGGAGAAGCCATCAACAAGGTAGTAAACATCGCTTCTGAAGCCATCGCGGGATCACGCTGGAGGGGTGGTAATGGCGCTAAAAAGTTTCTTCGTCCCGGATTACCTCCTCGCAATCGTGCACAACTACTTCGATGGGAGAACTCTCAATTTCAGCGCGGACGATAGCATGCACACACACCACGTCTCAATAGGAGTTGCCACGGTTCCGTCCTGGGACCACTCCGTGTTTCCGGCACATACGAAGGATTTGCCGTCCGCGCTGACACTGGCCAGGGAGGCAGAGACAAGTATCGCGCGAAGCATGTTTTCGACTTCGTACGCCAAGGCCATCGAAGAAAGGGCTCAAGCGACCGAGTCCAGTAAGAACCGCTAGCAGTTTAGGCGGGGAAAGAATGACAGGGACGAAAGAGGTCAGGAGAAAAACCTTCATCTTGACAAAAGGCAGCACAAAAATTCTGGCAGGGTAAAAGGGAACAGCAAGGACAGGCCCCAGAGCCCATGAAGGTTGATTCCACTGCAAAGTTCAGACAGCGCACAGACTTTGGGAAGCTCAAGATCAATAGTGTGCCGGCCCAGAAGCGACAGAACACGTCTGAGCGCATGATGAGCCCAAGGCCGCAGCGTTTTAACAATGTCGTGCAGATTGCTCCTGACAGTCAGGAGATCAGTTATGAGAGCGCAGCCATGGCAGCGGGCAATAATATACATGTGATAGACACTGGGGCGGTAAAGATTTATGTGAAGCCCATAAAGGAGCTTAACAATGTAGTTCCTGTCGATAGAAGATTTTTCGACAGGTCTCCCCATTTTTATAATCTGTACTTCCCCACTTCCCCATACATGGGGGTTTCCCATTTTTCCTTTGGCGACCTTTATCTCGGAGACTATGAAGCTTAGTCCAAAATGCCTTTTGTGAATACGCAGAAAATGTT